ATAAGGCTCAATGTCTCCGAGAAGAAGAGAATGCCACTATGCAGGAGGCCCTGGATGCCAATGAGGACCCGGAGAGTCACACGCACAAAAAGGCCAAGGTCATGGTACAGGTGGAGGGAGAAGGTGGTAGACTTGTCAGGTCGGAGGTGTTCAATCTGGTGGTCAAAGACGGGGAGGCGCTCACGTACAAGATTATGGTACAGCCTCGTGATGACCCTGAAGTTCGGCGACTCAGAAGACAGCAAGCGGCCCGCGAAGGAGACACCGATCTCGAACCAAGCAGCAACGTCAGTGAGGCGAGTGCTGAAACCGTGCCGGTGAACGAGCGTGGTCAAGCATTGCCAGAACCGCCGGTGGTGCCCGACGAGGAGCTGCAGAAATTCATGAAGACACCGGAGGGCAAAGAGTACTATCAGCGATGGCTCAAAGGGGACATCACGTGCAAGATGGTCCGTGAGCGGTCAGGGTGTGGTCTGTTGGCGAAATTCTTTGGCTGCAAAACTGATGAAGAGGAGGAGCAGAAGCTGCTTCAGGAAGCGCTGCGGATGGAGGCCAGACTGTCCCAAAGAAAATCCCGGGAAAGTTTGCATGCTGGACATGGAGATGATCAAGGGCAAGAGGTGTTACCGAGTCACGCTGCAGGCACTGGAGTGATGGCTCCGTCTTCCTGGCCGAGCTATACGCTCAGGGCTGAGCCAGCAGCAACCATCAGCCTGGAAAGTCAAGAAAGTGATGATGCTCAGGGATCAGGGCTCGTGGCAGTGGCTGACGTTCCAGCGGCGGAGTTCAGCATTAGCCATGAAGAAAATCAAGCGGAGCTCATGTTCGCCATTGCGGCGGGCGATGTTCCTGCCGAGGCGGAGGCCACTGCGAACTCCATGGCTGAGGGTATTGCTGAGTCAACTGAGGGAGGAACAGGGAATAGTGGCAATGGCGCAGTGGAAGGGCACGCAGCGGAGAGCTCTGAGCACAATAAGAACACTATGGGCGGCCGATCAGGGAGTGATGATCGCACGACGAACTCTACTGAAGGCCTTGTGCAAACGAACCTGCGTAGCTGGCTTGCATAGGAAATCTTTCCTCTGAGTGTACCGAACCGTAAGAGTTCCTTGGTGCATTGATGGAGGGTTTACGTTGCATACGGGCACTTGAGTTTGACCTGAGTGTGCCAGTCAAGCAGGGGTGCACGGGCTAACGCCTGTTGACTTCTTGTTTGCTCTTGTTCGTCGTGCTGCGTACAGGGCCATGCAGTACTGCATCTCCGGGAGTACATTCTGCAGGAGAAAAGGTCCGATAAAAAAAAACCCTAAATCCTACACCCTAAATCCTAAACCCTAAACCCTATATCCTAAACCCTAAACCCTACAGAGAGCTGTGCCGAGGTTGTGGAACCCAGGGAGGTCCCCAGAAATGGAGCCAGCGGACAAAGCGTCTGGCTCGAGGCCGTTGAGGTCTTCGGCCCTTTGACCGAAAGGATTTCGGGTGTAGGGCTTAGGGTTTAAATATATAAATAGATAGATAGATATATGTAGCCCCCCTTAAGTAGATAGAATATGGGGCATATGGGGATCTTATTATAGTATACCCAAAGCCATATTCTATCTACTTAAGGGGGACTCTATATATATATATATCTACATATGTGTATATTTTGGTATTTATTGGGGTTGTTTATGTATATTTATATATATATATACAGTGAAGTTGGTTTGTTTTACGTGATGGTTTCCATAAACAGGGGGACCCCAATACGGACCCAAGAGTTAGGGTCTCCCTGACAGTAGGGTGCCGTTGGGGGTTCCTGAAGGGATCTCAAACTGCTGCTTTACCTTGCAAGACCGGTTGTTGGCTGCTTGATTATCTTAAGTGATACGATGATTCCGAGAATTGACCGAGAGGTGCGGTGTGCAGGCTCCCTCCTTGGAAGACCTGTAGACTTGATTCGTCAGGCCTCCCTGAAATGGGAATTCTACATGCTCCCATTTGTGGGTCCTCTCCTGAAAGAGTGTATCGGAGGATCCTCCTATCGTTGGAAGAGAGGAAAAACAGCACAAGAGCGATCATCTCGCGACTCAAATTGGCGCTTCCCTTTGTACATTTTGCATGGTAGGATCATGGCAATGTGGAAGTTTGAGGTGGCACGAATCAAGCTATCTGACGGTTCTCAGAAGCACGTAGCACAATCAGACCTCGAATAGTACAGCCTAAACTCAAAACCCTCAATCCCCAAACCCAAAGCTGAAACTCCCTGCAACATAGAGCCCTAAACCCGAAAAAGGGTTGGTTTGAACACGTTTTTAAAGAAGCCCTGAGCCCCTATATGCCCCTAGATAATCCTTAGAAGGCTATAAAAAATCAAGTTTTGTAGGGCCCCCAAACCTATAGTCCCCCTTGAGTAGATAGAATATGGGGTATATGGGGATCTTATTATAATATACCCAAAGCCATATTCTATCTACTTAAGGGGGACTATACCCTTTTACACCCTACACCGCGTTGCTCAGGTCAGCCAGGCTTTCAGAAGGTTGGAGACCGTGGCCTGAAGCTGCTACAAGAGGCTTGTTAAGCTCGGGTATAAGAGATAAATAAATAAACAAATAAATAAATAAACAAATATCTATTTATGCATAGGGGGTATCTAGGGATACGTATGGCTTTGGGGTTTAGGGTTTAGGGATTCACATGTGGTTTCCCTTGCATTTGCGGAGCTTTTTTTTTGGGGTGGGGGGTGGGGTGGCGATAAGAAGGATTATAGTATTTTTGGGTCTATATTGGGTTTCCTTATTTAGGGAAATCACCATAAGTGTAATCTGAAATGCAGTTCGGACTGAGGTAAACTGCAAAAATGTACCAGCATATTATGCAGCTGTTGATGGAAAAAGCATGACCTCACCACCCTATAACCCCTGTATAACCCCTCTCCTTATACTCAAGCCAACAACCTAAACCCCAAACCCTGACCAGCTTGACCAGAAGGTCCGGTGGCGAGCAACTGGGCCGAGCTCTTCTCGTGCGAGGTTCAGAGTTCATTTTTTGGGTTGAGCGTGGCTCCAGGTTTGTGCTGGGTTCTTGGGTAGTAGTATCATCCATGCATACTTGTCAACGAAGACCTCAAGCACGCTACAGTCCTAAACCCTAAAGCTCTCCCTGATGCATGTCCACATTTGGAGGCTGGTCCTGTACTTCTTCATCCAGACCTCCTACCGCTTTCGCTTCAAGGCAATAAATATAGTTTCTATTGGGTGGGAAGTGGGGGTTTCTCATCTCAGACAACAGGTACCCCAGAGGAGCCCAGGGGTGCCTGGGATGGCACGAATATTCTTGGCGCCCGGTTTGGGGATTGTGGTTGGGTTTGCTCAGAGCAAGGGTGCCGTGGTGCGTCAACTTGAGCGCTTTGGGCTTGCTGTTTGTGAATAGGGAAAGGAAGAATGTATCCTTGTCATGGCCCCTATACAATCCCTAAACCCTTACCTGTGTATCTAGATCTCTATAAGATGAAGTATGTTTATGGTAACTTCCATGTTCTTATCCACTCCCACAAGCCCTAAGCTTCAGGTAGTAGCTTCCAATTTCTTTTACTCCTTCTTTCCATGGTAGTTGAATGTTTTGGAGTCCCATGAAGTTCCAGCTGGCTCTCCTTGCAAAAAGGTAACAATAACAATGATCGCAATATGCAGCATGCTAGTAGGTCATGACAAAACAGTAATACACGAAGGGAAAAGGAAGCAGATGCTAGCATTTGAGGTTGGGGTGTGGGTTGAAGGAACTAGGGGATTATTATGGGGTTCCATTTTTTTGGATCCTTTAGGGGGTCTGGTTTAGGACCTAAGGAACGGAAAGTAAAACGGAATCTGCTCAGGTACCTTCGGGGTTTGTGGTACGCAGTGTGACGACTCTGTCGGTTGACGGCCTTAGCTTCAGATTGCCAGTCAACCCTGGGTGTCGGTGGAAAATCGGCCCAACCCCTATGGATTCTTCAGAGAGCCACGGCGACCCACAACAAGTAGGATATGCAGCAGCATCAGTCGCGGATACAATCAGGGTCCCACCTTTCCAAAACTATCGCCTTTCTTAGAATGATGTGAACTTGCTCTTGACTGCTCATGATTGTTGATGAGCAGGCCCGAGACATTAATGGCCACGCTCTGCATATCCTGGCTGTTCATGATCCCGACTCTCGGCGACATCACGCTTTTGCGCCGACCAAGACTTGTGTAGGTTTGTCAAGGTTTTTCTTGGGAGACCAGGAGGATCGATTCGTTGTCAACTACTGGTTCGCGCAACACCTATTCCGTTCTGCGTGCAGGTTACACAAGTCATTGGTGTTGCCTGCTGCGGTCCTGCGTGTTCAATTGGCGGTGTTGCAAAATCAGTGTGTTCACTTTCGAGTTCCTGTTTTAAGGACTCTCCTACTTCAATGGCCCAGAAGGCCCCTCATGTTTAGCACCAGCTAAACCTGTGCAAAAGCAGAAGCTCGGGCAGCCCCTCCTGGGGATGTCAGTATCAATGAGCCACGGAGGGTTCAAGCTGAAATTTAGCTGTTCGCATGATCATTGGTGTGCATGATGACCAAAGCTCCAATTTCATGGCTCGGATGCCCGCTGCCCTGAAAAGGAGTTGCTCAGACTCGGATTTTGTCTCCCTTTGTTACAGATGAGTGCCTGGCTCTCCATGCCATCAGACCTCCTACCTGCTTCAACTCAGGGCTCGCATCCACCGCACGGCAATTTGGGACCATCAGATGTGGGGGTTTCCCGAAAGTAGGGGTACTGTTTAGTGGTCCCTATTTAGGGCAATTTCCCAGTAATCCCGACATAGGACTGTATATAGTAGCTTCCACATTATCCACTTGATTTTCCATTGGATTCTCCATAATTGAGGTAATATCCCTACATAGCCATTACACACCCCTTTTGTATCCTTATTATAGAACCTTTACATAGCCCCATGTAACCCCTATTGACCTACGTGTCATAGGAAACGACCATGTGTTACATCAGGATGGTCGCGGCAGCAGCGGTTCCCTGCGGCGGTCTTCCGTGAGCATTACAGGTTTTGCGGGAGGGCAGGGGTAGCGTCAGGGTCAAGGGTTTAGGGTTTAGGGTTTGGGGTTTAGGGTGGCGTCAGGAAGCCTTATAATGATGCCTCTGCGGTTAGGGGAGGCGAGCTCACTAAGGATCAAGTGTGTTCCTATCATCCACTGAGACAAGGAGCTTGAAATCTTTTTGCGTGTTGGAGTTCTAAGTGCAAGGCTTCTGTCGTTCACTTGTCATGAAAAGTCTTCACAGTAGTTCCTGCAATCAATCCTGTAACTGCTGCCTAAGGCAACACCACTAAGGCTTGGCACAGTGCTTCCTGGCGATGCATACTATTTTCAAAAGCTGACAAGAAGCTGCATGTCCAAGGTAGGCGCTAAGGTTTTTTTTGGACCTACCTCCGGCTGCTTTCCAAGCTTTCCCTGCAAACGCCCAAACCTCAAACTGCTACTAGATCACCTAGCTGTTCATTAGCTGCTGACCAACTCTTGAAGTTTGGCGGGGTCCTACCAGGGGCATGTTGAGTTCTATCTTGAGGCAGTTGCAGCAACTTTTTGGCGGATTCGAAAGAAACCGCCACATGGATGATTTTACCTACGAATGAACTCCAAGCATGTGATCTAACAAAAGACTTGGTTGAAGTTCAAAGATCTTCCATTTAAAAAACTCTGCGTGGCTTTGCCCCTAAGCCTGAAACTCTTTGATTCCTCTAGTAGTAGGGGGACCCCAATATAGACATACACCAACACACCAGCATCTTCATGATGGGGACCCCAAAAAGGCACCCTCCTCTTAGGTAACCTAAAGCCCTATCCAGCTACTATGAACCCATATATATCCCTATATAACCCCTATAACCCCCTTTCAACCCTCAACCCTACTTTTGCAAAAGCCCCATATCCTGCTCATGCGAGTGTTGGTGTGACCAGGCTCTCCTTCACCAGTGGCCATCATGGTGGGCTGGCTTTAGTTGGGTTCGGGGATTAGGGTTCAGGCTTTAGGGTCGAGGGTGTAGGGTTCAGGGTTCAGGGTGTACGGTGTAGGCTTCAGGGTTTAGGGTTGAAGGCCTTCTTCTGACGTATAGTACCCCATAGGCTTTAGGGTCTCGGGTTTAGGATATAGTCCGTCTTGACTAGATAGAATATGGAATTGAATTGCCCAATGTCATAATAAGATCCCAATAAACCCCATATTCTATCTACCTAAGCTTTCAAGGTCCAACGTGGGTATGGCTTGGCAGCCTTTTCTTCTTCTTCTTGATATCGCCTTTCTGAGTTTAGGTTCAGCCTAAAACCCGAGCCCGGAGCCCTAAACCCTAAACCCTAAGCCGTTGGTGTGGTACCATGGGTCAACTTGTCACCCTCTGTTTGAGAAAGGCCCAGAGGGTGCAGAACTGCATCCCTCAACCCAACGCGTGGAATTCCTGTACCAGTATATCATATGTTATAGGTTAGGAGGACCCCACCCTTTAATACTGACTACAAGGGATACTAAGAATTATAGTAGGGTCCTATTTCATTCCTACTATGCCACCATTACAGGTAGGGAGGGGGGTCCTCCTAAATTGTAGGTTATACACATATACGTATATATATATATATATTCTATAACGTATTATGTATAGTAAGTATAGTATATATTCTGGTGTAGTTTAGTTTATTCTAGTATAGTATTTACATTATACGTCTATAGCGGTGCTACATTGGGGTATTTATGATTAGGATGGGGAGGTTCATTGTGAGGCTTAGGGGCGGGGAACACACTAAGCCGTCCAGGAGTCTCTCATTGGACACGTCGACCTTGCTGAGGAGTGATCCTCGGCTGATCGAAGGTAAGTCCCGAACTTGTGTATTCATTTCCTTTACTTGCCTTGGTAATTTAATTTTCATATGTTGATTTCTGAGTAGTGGTGTGGACGTTCCTCAGAAATTCTCCTTAAAAGGCGTCGTCTTTCATCTTTTCACAATCCCGCCATGGAATTTTGCGAAACCCCCGCATGTTTCTGGGGACCCGCACACAACTCAGACCGAGGTCCTCATGATTTGAAGGAAATTTGGGAGTTTCTCAAAATAGAGGGCCCTGGAAACCCTGGCGAATATGTGGGGAGGCTGATGGGGCGAGTCATTTTGGGAATTCCTTATTTCAGTCTCCATACAACCTAGACCTTAAACCCCAAACCCTAAGCTGCTGAGGCTGGTTCATTGCGCACAACAAGATGGGCACCTGATCTGGAGAGAGTTGGGACATTGCATATATTTTGTCTATATAGTCCTCACCACAAACCTGTATAATCACCGAGATTGCCTGTATATCCCTCAGATCCATAGGGCGCCCTTATCTTAAAAAACGGCAGCTGGTCCGGCAATGTAGCAGCTCAGCCGCAGCCTCCTCATGCAGGAGCACCGCAACTTCCTGTCAAGAATAGCCAGAACTTTATGCTTTGCAGCTTTCATGCGCTGTTCCCGTAGCCTGTTAGAAGTCATTGCTTCCGACATTCAAAGAGGCCCTGAAACATCCCAAGATGAATGCCTGAGGATGCTTCAGAGGAAGTTCCCAACTGTACATCATGCTAACTTGGCAGTTGTTGTAGTAGACTTTACCAACTAACCGCTTGGCATTGTTGTTAAAACCCAGCTGGAAGAACAGTTTGGGCAAGAGAAACAGCTCTATACAAGAAATCGCGCTTCTCTTGGTGCGAGGATACTTTGAAATAGTTGTTTCCATTTCCTTTCCCAGTCCCGCTGTTTTTAGCGAAGATGCTTGTTGCTATTAACATTTTTGTTGCTACATATGCTACTGCCTGTATGCTGGAAATATGCCTATATATATATACACATATATAGATAGATCCCTTACTACCTATTCTAGACTGTTGGGTGGGGGCGGGTCCCAACCTAAACCCTAAACCCTAAGCACTGAACCCTAAGCTCCATGGTTCTTAGTAGCCAAGCAGGACTTACTTTTACATAGGGGATATATGGGGATTCTGTTCCCTCATTCCCTACTAAGAACCCTAAACCCATTTCTTAAACCCTAAACCCTAAACTAGGAGGTAAGCATTATTCAAAACGTGGCCCAGGCACTTGCCAAGCTCTTCACCTCGCTGCTGGGGTTGGCCATGTGGCTTTTCTCGACTTGCTCTGCGAGGCCTCTGATAAATACGATTTCAGGGGTTTAGGGTTTAGGGTTTGGGGTTCAGGGTCAAGGGTGATACTGCAAAGAGGAGCACCTGGAAAGTCTTGATCTTATTCCTGATCTCTTGCATGTGGAGGATCTGTGCCTTTGTAGAAAATTGTACACAAAAGCTACGGATGTTGCCTGCAGTTGCGTTGCGCTTCACTCAGGGCCCGTAGGATTGTCGGGTCTTACAACTGGTGTTGTGCGTCAGGGTTCTCAAGCTTTCAGAGAGTCAGACCATGGGACTTTGGGAATACAGTCCTCCGTAAACCTATGGTTTTGTGAAATCCTGCATTTTATCCATTCAGCGGGGGCTATAAACTCAAACAACCCTGTACTTAAAAAAAGCTACTTTAGGTTATGTAGTGTAGCCCCCTAATAAGATCATCATAACCCTATGTAACCCATTATAGGTAGGTATTAGTAATTCCAGGGTCCCCGAAAGTAAGCCCTAAACCCTAAACCCTAAAACCTAAACAAAGCTATATAGCTTTCTAACCGTACACAGTTGGAAAAAGGTTTCATAGAACACCCAAACAAAACAGGATCAGCTCCATACATGGGCACCTTCCCCCTCAGAATCAGCAGCGTCTCATGTGCAGATGGGACCTTCGGCCCCCCAGCCCCCTCAACCAACATCCCGCAGAACCCCAAGGCCAATCCTAGTGTTTAAGGGTTCAGGGTTTAAAGGTTTAGGGTTTAGGGGTTTAGGGTTTAGGGGTTTAGGGGTGTAGGGTTTGGGGTTAGCTGCCAAACTGACCTCCTTGAGCTGAAAGCCGTCGATCCTTCAAAAGGTGTCCTGTGTAATTCGAAAGGGACTTGGTAGTTTCCATGAATAGCGGGACCTTAATATGGACGCTCAACATCATCTTCTTCATGCTTATTGTTCGGGACTCTCAAAAAGGGTGGGAAACCCCAATCGAAAAACACAGCATATGAACCCAGTTTCCATTTCAACTTCCATCTTCTGTTGCATTTGATTCTCCATTATTGGGGTATATATCCCTACGCCCTACACCCTAACCTTAAATGGTAGATTTCGGTATCCATTTTTTCCATCCTCTCTACATAGCCCTCTTCGTCTTGGCCTTGCCCTAAACCCTAAATCCTAAAAGTGAAGGCCGAAGCAAACCTTGATACCAAGACTCGGTTTGACGGCAAGGCCGTGTCATGCTGAATGCATGGTTCAGGGTTTAGGCTTTAGGTTTTATAGTTTAGAGTTGCGTGTTAAGGGTTTAGAGTTTAGGGTTTATGTTTTAGGGTCTGGGGTTTAGGGTTTAAGGTCTGGGGTTTAGGGTTTGGGGTTTGGGGTTCTGGGTTGAGGGAGTCCTCGCAACTTTTGGACACAGTTGCATACTGTAATTGTAGTCCTTGGGTCTCATGAACGGTCTTTGTCTCAAGGAGTGGTAGGAAAGTCCGCAATCTACCCTTGTTCGGGTCAGGTCCCATGGTCTTGGTGACAGGCATTGCAATGATGTTTTCCAAGTCAAGATGATATAGTATTACCACATGGTCTATAAGGATAGTATTGTCTTTCTCATTCACTACGGCATATCCATGATCATTGCGATTCTTGTTGATGTTCTTGGACTCTTTTCGTGTTGCCCTCCAGTACTCTATTGCAATGCACCTGATTCTGAACATGGCTGATCTGCTAAACTGGTAGCCTTACGGTGCGTGCACGTCTGACAGCCAACCCGAATGCTAGAGTCCCATTGCAGCAGGAGAACTACACTGCGCTTCACGAAGCAGCGTTCTTCAAGCAGGAGGGACGTAGGGACGGTAGCTCAAGTGAGAAAGCAGAATCTCAATTGGTAGTTGCCCCAAACAGGTGGATGCTAATATAGACACCAAAATACTGGAATCCTACATAGTTATTGGGACACCCAAAACGGTACCCTTAATTTTAGGAACCGCCCAAGTCTCCTGGGTTTGGACCTTTACCTTCTACAGAGAATCTGGGGTGTCTCTTGCACGTTTTTGGGTGGAAGATGTTGAGCACCTAAACCCTAAACCCCAAAGCATTCCGTGCTTCTTGAAGACGAGGTGCGTGAATATGAAGTGAAAGCTATGGATGGCTCAAGCTAGGAGAGGTATGTTATGCCCTGGATGTATAGTAAGACGCACAATACTAGCAATAACTGTCATCATAGTAATTATGGCAATACTGGTGGTAGTAATAGTAATAATAGTAATATTGCTAATATTAAGCATATAGGTAGTAATAGTAATCGTCTTAACAGTAATGTATAGAAGCGCTCACCAGCTCAATGTATTGTGGCATTCAGGTCATCCGTGAGGGTTGACAAAGACAGCATGAGCTGGCAGAACCTTTGAGCCATAGCCTAAACTCCTTAAAGGGGCTATATAGGGGGCTACTATAGGGGATATTAGGGGGGATACTAGGGGTTCAAACCCTATCCCTGAGACCTCTTAGGTCTATTAAGGGGGATACTAGGATTTTAGACTATAGCTCATTTGAGGTTCTTGCAAGAGATGTTCCGACAGTCTCGTTGTCTCAACATAGATGCCCTGAAGAGCCTCCAGCACTTTCAACGCCATTATGTAGTGTTGCTCAAGGCAGGTGGCTTGAAGCAGATTGATTACTCTTCGCCAAGAATCCTAAACGCGCCCAAACCTGCATGCCTCTGCATGTCTTCCAGCCTTCCAGAAGCTCCGCAGCCACCCCAAGCCCCTAAGCCCTAAACCCTAGACCCGAAATAGTAGTTTCCATTTTCTTTTCCGTTGTCCCTATATAACATAGTCCCATATTCTGAGCCCCGTCAACCCGATCCCATCAGACGACGGCGGTAACCAAGCTGCTCACAATGCGCGCGAATGTTCCTTGCCTTTCCCAGCTCCCAAGAAGCAGCATGCGCTGGGCTCAACAGTTGAATCCTGCTCCGGAAAATTCTTACCACTTGTCCCTAGATGTTCCGTAGTGATATATTTTTGGCGTAAGAGATCAGGAGCTCCCTCATTCCAGGGGGGTGATCCTGGCATAGTTTGAGGTTTGTGCAAGGATCTGATGGTTCTGGGTGCGGCTAAAAAAACCAGATTTCTGATGTCCCGCTTGAGCGGTATGTTGAGCTGGGTGATTGCAAGTTCAGTTGGAAGTGAGAGGGCTTCTATCCTTCACAGAAGAGTGTGCTTTTGCAAACGAACCTGGTGACTACAAGTCATATAGCCCAATTAGTCTACTTACTGAATCCCCCCGACCCTCCAAGTGGTAAGATTTGATTACCTTTTCTGGCACTCCGAAACATTCTAAGGCTTCATATGTTACGGGAAGCCAGGAGCTTCGACTCTGTATTAACAAGGGCTTGGGGAGTTCTCGAATGGAACTGATCAGGAATTCTGAGGAACGCAAACCTTAAACCCCAAACTCTGAACCCTAAACCGTCCTAAGGCCTAAACCCTCAACTTTACACCCTAAACCCTAAGCCCTAAACCCCCCAAAATGAGCTTAGGCGAATTCCGAGAACCTCAAAGGGCAGACGCCGCTGCACATTGCTGCGTCGCAGGGAGGCATGGGTCCGGGTTAGGTCTTAGGTCTTAGGTTTTGAGAGTATGACGCCGTGGCGGTGTGTATTTCCGAGGATTTTAGGATTTTTGTGTGGGTTTTTGCTTTATCGTATGCCACAGCTCACCCTTTCTATACACATACATATCCTAGCTAGGTTAGCCAAAATTAC